CCCCAAAACCCCAAAACCCCAAAACCCCAAAACCCCGGGATTAATAAGGCTCATTGAATTATTCTTATTTCAGCAATTTCTGTCTAAATTCCTTCCAATGTCACATTCACCATTCCATTTTCTTGCAAAACTGATTCCGCCAAGTCTCTCGTCAATTCACAATTTCCCAAATCCAGCTTTATGAGTCTATTTTTGACCTGGCTGACCTTTGCCAAGCCCTTAACAATGTTCTTAAACTGAACGAACCCATTCTGACTCCAGTCACTATAGGCACTCCTCCCAGTTCCATCCAAATTCAACGTCTCAAAAGTGGAGTGGGCGAGTCTGTCTCCAAAGTCAAGTTCCTCCTTCGTGTCTACCTTACAATAATAAACCTGCACTCATGTGCAATGCTGGGCGGCCACGAGGAGGTCTTCAAACTGGGCCTTGCTCATCTGGAACTGGTAGAAAGAGATGAATTCAGGAATGGAGGGAAGAGCCTTGGTCAGGGCAGGCATGTAGGCTCCGATTGGGGTAAACGAAGAGTTCTGGGATTGGAAGTAGAACTTTTTGATGCTGGGACTCAGCGCATTCTGCACAAACCTGCTCATCACCTCTGGATCCCCCAACTCGTCAACGTAGTTCAGCTGGATATAGTAGAGAGGAGGCATCTGGGAGAGCTGCAGGGCTTTCAGCAGAGTCACCCAAGAAGCAGTGTTCAGGTTGAAGCCAAGGCTAGATGATAAATAGAAGTTGTCTGAGCTATTCATAATGGAGTTGTGAATAATTTTCAGTCCTTCATGGGTAATGGCTCACTTTGATTCTCCAAGAGATGCCTCGAGATTGGCTATTTGATCCTTCATTTCTTCTGCGTCAGCATTATATTTGTCTTCTTTCTCAGTGAGGATTTGGATTCTCTGGGTAAGCTGATCAATTTGTTCTTGTCTTTGATTGGAAACTAAGAGATTATGAAGTTAGTTTTAAATCTTGCCATTATTTTAAACAATACAAACATGGCTAATTCTGAAAAAGATATCATTTACATTAAAATATAAGCAAAGCCGAAACTAGGATTTCATTTGAATAATCAGAGTTTGAATTACTTTCGAAAGCTTGCTCAAAATTATCCCTCTCTTGAATCAACCTCTGAATGTTCTCCTGCATCTGGGTCTTCTCCTCTTCCAGAGCCTCTGTCTGAGTTTTTCTCTGTTCTGCCTCCTGAGTAGCCTTCTGCAGTTGCTCCTTCAGAGGAGCGATATGGTTTCTCTGAATACTCTGGTGGAAGTCAGCTAGCTTGTTTCTAAGAAGGGCCTGGGTGTCTCTTGAAACACGTCCTCTTCCATTCTTGTGCTCGTGCAGGGCTCTGACCTGCAACTGCTTCTGATAGCACTTCATCGCTCTTGAGTCCTCGATGGCATTGAGTATAGCCTTTACCTCATCCTGGAACTGGGAAAGATGACTCCAGTTGTCCTCTTGTCTTATGTCTCTGAGGCTAGCTAGATTGAAGAGTGAGCGAGAGGTTGGAGAATTACTATATGAACTTAATGATGGATCAAAGAGTTAATATAATTGGTGAATCAGTCTCCAGATTCTTTCAAAAGAGATGTGAATGGCCGGAATAAATAGATTCATTTAGATAGCAAGGATTGACAAGCAATTCCTCATGCTTGATTAGACTTTATCTTCATAGCTTATCAGAGATAAATGATAGCAAAGATCTAACTAGTCATAAAAGATTCCTGACCATTTCTGATCTATCAATTGGAGATCAAATCCAAATAAAGACCTGACAAAAATATCTGAATGGAGGAGGAAACAGTGAGCACGAAGATGACTCAAGCATGTGACTTACATCTTAGCTCAAGAAATGAGTCTCTGAAGCTATCTAGCTCTCCTACAAGACCATCCCACACCTTGTGGAGCTTGTGCTGGTCTTTAAAGCTAGTTATTGTCGTGATATTGTAGTGTACTATAGGGAATTAACATCGTTCAAAACAACTTTTATCAAATTCAAAACTGATCCACCCAGAAAGTTAAATTTCATGGGTGTTGTGTAAAAGCTATCTAATGCAGCCAGATTATTTCTTTAACGGTAGAAAAGCTGGCTCTAAGGTGGAGCTCACTATAAGGTGGGCTCGCTTATCAGCTCTTACTCAGGTCAAGGCACTCTTCAATTAGCTCTATCGGTGGAATTGGTTCACAGTCTTCATTTGAGAATGTGGTGATCATGCACTTGCCGCAAGCAAATACATCTTTCAACAGAGGATTGCTGGCAGTCTTTCTGACAATGTGGGTTGCCTGTCCACAGTCAGAGAATGTTTCACATTTTGGAAATAGTTCCATTATTTTTATTAATTACAAATAATCAATTATATTTCTTATGTACGGGGTTTTGGGGTTTTGGGGTTTTGGGG